AATTTCGTTTATGGTGATGAAGTACTGGTAGAAGAAGAATTTTCCCACAATGATATGAGTTCAGCTGACGCTTCCATTCATTTTAACATAGCCTTACTTTCCCAAAAGTTGTTCTCATCCAGGCAACAGTGGACTGCAGTTTTGACCTCGCATCTGTCTTATCAACCCCCTCAGCGGGAGTCGAAACGCGACAGTGCAGGATGGAAGCTTGACACACAAACCACTTGGCTACACTGCCACGAGCGCCTTCTAGGTCACAGGACAAATCTGCATTTTTAAGGAAGGCCAGTCCTTTTTGTAATATCATATTCTTTTGGTGGGATTGTCGTTGAGGCATACGTAGATCTGCCATAACAATCGACTACTATACTTTATTTTTCGAATTAAGTATTGTTTTCGTGGCTACCACTAAATCTGTAATATGAGATGTATTCACCCAATTTCATTTAAGGTGATGAAGGACTGGTAGAAGAATTTTCCCACAATGGAAACGTCAGCTCAACTCATATTATTATGGAAAAATTCTTCTTCTATCAGCTCTTTATCACCTTAAACGAAATTGGGTGAATACATCTTATACTGAAGTACATAGAGTTTATTTATTCACCTAAATTATCGACCAAGGCAAGAAAAAACTAATTATAATAGACCAATAGCCAAAAGAAAGCAACGCTTGCTCATTTAATTATCTACAATCCATCAATCCTGTCTCTTACACTTCTTTTATACTGCAGAATAGATCAATTTCAACCTCAAGTTGCTTAACCAACTTTAACATTCAATGATATGTTGGCTATTTTAACAGCTCGTTTTCTACCTGAGCGCCTACAAATGGAGTCACTGAATTTAACTTAATGTTAATAATCTTCATCTAGTCTAGTAGGCGGCAAAATCGCTAATCTGGAAATGAATCAAACGACAACATTTTCGCGGCTTCACTTTCTCCTTCTTCATTTACACCCAATACATGACTAGCATCTGAATTTATATTGGAACCGCCCATCATCTAATTATCCCTGATGGTAGTTATGCCGTTTTTTTTGGTAGCTTAAAGCAAGTCACGCATGATTTATTCCAGGACTCAAATTCTATGCAAAAAAGCAAATAAGCCATACATATCCCAACAAATGCCTTTAGTCGAAAGTAACATTAAACTGTTTCGGCCGCTAGTAGGCATGTCATCTATCAAGCTAATATACTACTTTTAGTAATAATTGTGAGCCACTTGTTGGTAATATCTTTAGTATAGCATGTAAGCAGGGATAGAAGAAAGAAGTGGCCTGAAAACCTTCTTAAAGTAAATGAATGCTCATATATTAGAAGATGAATTCAAAGGATTCTCACAAGGCAGAAACTAAAATTTCTTCTTTTCGTATTAGAGTAGAGTTTCGAGACTAACAGTAAATCAGTAATATGAGATGTATTAACCCTATTTCGTCTAAGGTGATGAAGGACTGGTAGTAGAATTTTCCCACAAG